AAGCATGGCCCTGGCGCCCTGCGAGTGAGCCCCCCGAAACCCGCTTGGCTGGGGGGGGGATCGTGCCCCAAACATGGGGGAGGGGTGCGACCCCACCCCGCAATCTCCAATACTCTCCCCCCAGCGTTTTACTGCCATGGTCCCCCTCCCCGGGTCTTGCTGGAGACCGCGCCGTGGGCTGCCTTTGTTTGGCGCTCAAGCCCCGGGCAGCCCCGAGTGCTCGGCGGAAAACAAAGGCAGGATCCGGGTCCAGAACGTGGGGTGGGGGCGGCGATGGCCGCGTTCCAGGGCGAACCCCGGCGAGCTCCCGCGGGCGGACCCAGGCGGCTCGAGGGGTCTGGTTTGGAGGGGCGAGAGCTTCTCACGCGTTTTCTAAGCGCCTCCAGTTAATGGGGGGGGGGCTGCGTTCCTCTACCCACCCCACATGCACCAGTGGCCGAAGCCCCGGGGGATCACGACGGGGGGGGGGGGGTCACTAGGGCGCACTCTGGAGCGGGGCGAGGAGACGCGAAGGGAAACGCTGCTGGGGAGGACAATGAATGCAGCCAGGCTAAGGACCTCTGCAATTCGAATCACTGAGGGGTTTTCTTCCCGGGGGGCTGAGGGCCCCCCCCTTGCGGCTCTACCCGGCGGCGGAGGATTGCAGGGCTGTCTCCCCCAGGGAGGGACAAGAGTGATTTTTTTTTTTAATGGAAAGCGGACATTGGGCAAGGGGGGGGGTAATCACGGCTGCAGCGTCCCCCCCCCGGCTTGCATCGTGCAACAATGCCTCTGGCGGGCGGCAGCAAGCTCCCCACCCCGCCCGGGCTCTGGAGGTGGAGCGCGAGCGCCCGCTGGTGGCGGCGCAGGAGCGGTTCCTCTTAGGCGAACACCCCACGTTTTATCCTCCTGAATTTAGAGCCCGGCTCACCTGCGCTGGCAACTGACCACCTGGGACTGACTTTCTGCCGGATTCTCCAGCACCGGGTTAATTGCGGGGCACGCCTGCTCCATTAGGCTATGGGGGGGGGGGGGGTCCAGATAGAGGGTTACAACTGCACCCCCCCCCCGCACATTCCTCCCATCTGCCAATTGTGCCCCCTTCCCCCACCATGCCCCATCAGCTCTAGAGCCCCTGGACTTCTAGTCAGCATATCATGGGGCGTGCTCCTGACTTAGCTTTTGCCTCCTGATCAGTTTTCCCAAGAATTGGGTTGTATAGCCAACACCAACTCCTCTCTGGGAGGTGAAAACGCCTTTTAATCCTACCAGCTAAAGTCAGGGAGGTCTGGGGGAAGTGGTGGTATTCTGCATCTCCAGGGTGTCTAGCTCTAGTCTCTAATATGTCATGGTTCCCTCTTCCCCTAGGAGAATGGCCATGTGAAGATAAATGGGGATGTCTCCCCCAAGGCTGATGGAGAAGCCCCACCCCTGAATGGCAATGGATCTGCTGAGCCAGTCACCGAGGAGACCAAGGCAGAGTCTGGCAGTGGAGATGCCATTGAGCCAGCCCCAGCTGCTGACGGTGGGGAGGCCAAGCCTGATGGTGCTGCAGCCTGCAAGGAGACCCCCAAGAAGAAGAAGAAGTTCTCTTTCAAGAAGCCCTTCAAGCTGAGCGGGATCTCCTTCAGGAAGAACAAGAAAGAGGCTGGGGATGCTGCTGTGTCCTCTCCCACAGATGACCAGGCCAAAGCAGAAGCCAAAGGGGAGGAGAACCCTACCTGCTCTGCCAATGAAACGGAGCAGACCAGTACAACACAGGAAGGGAAAGCGGAGGAGAAAGCTGCTGCAGTGGACAGCAGTCCGGCTGCTGCCGAAGGGCAGCAGGAAGCAGAGCCTAAAAGGGAAGATGCAGAAGCAGGGGAAGCCCAGGAGAAAGAGGAACAGGAGCAGCCGCTGGGGGAAAGCCAGGAGGCTCCCGCTAAGCCCGAGGAGTCCTCAAAACCTGTGGAGCCTGAGGCCAGTACAACACCTGCAGCAACTGAGCAGAAGGAAGAATAGAGCCCACTTGACATGGTCATAACTTAAAGACTTTGTGCCATCCTCATCCCAATAACACCGTGGACTTGCTGCCTTGCCCACACACCTGTATGTTCAAAGTAGAACTGACAACACCTAATTAAGATGCCTGAATTATTTTCCCTCCTTCCCCCTCCATGCAGCTCACTGTTGGAAAACTGGTCTGGATTCCCACCACCACCACTTGGGACTAGTTTGCCTGAATCCTTTAAAACTTGGAAGATGATCCTGGACATAACTGGAATCTAGTCACACACAGTCTATTACACCAAACTCTGGGCTCTCTGCTGATCTACTGCCTTGTTTCCACTAATCCTCCAAGCAGCTTTCAAGTCCAATAAGCCACTGACTGTTCAACGGATTCTTTTTCTTGGTTTAAATTCCTGGTTCTGACTTCATTTAAAGTATTTTGGGCTTTTTATAGAAACAAACAGTTTAAAAGCTAATCTGGTTAGTTTTTTATAATGTCTTACTATTGGCTTAAAACCATAAAGCTTGTAAGTCCGCTGTGTTTAATTTTACTTCTAAGGGGTAACTTTTTTTGGGGGGGGGGGGGGGAGGAGGGAGAGTGCAAAGTGTATAATGTGAAAGTTTTTTGTTTTCTCTGTAAATAATTTTTAATGGCCAAAACATTTGATTTGCAATTTTCTAACTCTAAAAAAAAAGTCTGGGTTTCCTTGTAACATTTGAAAGGAATAAATGGTGACCCCTTCCTGGGTAACTTGTTGACTTTGTCTAGGATACTGAAGGAGATACTGAGGGTGGAGTTGCTTATTTAGCCTAATGGCTGTTGCACTTAATCACTTTATTCCTAACTGTAGTAGCACTGAATTGACTTGAGCACATCTAAAGCTGGACAAGCTACATAACCCTGTTCTGCAGGGTCTGTGTCCCAGGCTGCCCCATGCTGTGTGTAAAGTTTTTGCATGTTGTGTGAACCTGACTCTTCTCCCTAAATGAATTTAGTTAATGGCCTCTACAACATATTGATCTCAGTGGTTTGAGCATTGGTCTGCTAAAGCCAGGGTTGTGAGTTCAATCCTTGAGGGGGCCACTTAAGGATCTCGGACAAAAATCAGTACTTGGTCCTGGGAAGGAAGGAAGGGGGTTGGACTTGACTTGATGACCTTCCAGTTCTGAGATAAGTAATAAGCTAACTCTAAAAGACCACCTGGATTGATAGACAAAGCCTGTAACAACTTGACTGGGGTTGTGAGAGATGCATGGCTGATCACTGGGAGAGGGGGAACGCTTGGTAATTAATTTAAGCTACAGCCCTTGAGGTAGGGAAGTAAACACTTTACAGTCAGATATGAGGGGGCTTGTCTAAACTCACCTAGGAGCCTGTGGTACAGCTAGAAACTAAACAAGTGAAGTCTTCTCCATTCACTTAAGAGGCCAGGCTTCCTCTGCAAAACCAGAGGGCAGGAGCAACAATGATATGACAAGGCTGCACCTTCTAAAGGCTCAATTTGTATTGTACTGGGGCTCTAGTCTGTACCTAGTCTCATTCAGGAGTCCTTTTAAATAAAATTCTAGAGAAGTCATGGCTGAGGTGTCCCCCAGTCAGTGAGACAGTGCCCAGGGGAAATGTGCAGCTAGAGGCCGCTCCTGCAAAAGGTGGATTGCTGCCTGTAATGACTGACAGCTGCTCTAGTAGAATCACTATGTATGGCAAAGTACTTCATCCTCTGGTAGAGCATTCACCCTACCCTCAGTGCTATGAGGCTAAACTTGACTGATCTCTAGCTCAAGTCTCATCTCCAATACATAATTATGAAACTGGTACCTTCAGCACAGCTGGTGTGTTGTCCATATTGTCCTGCAGAATTAAAGAAGTCACCTCTTTAACTTACCTTTTGAAGGTGGTACATGCTGCAGGTCCATGGAAACAGGCACAGCTCACTTACCGGTAGGGATCATTCTACAACCTATGTTCTTACACATGCAATGGTATGTGCTGCTATAGGGTTAACTGTACCAGTACCGGAGAGCTGTGTGGCAGCCATTTTGAGTACTACTGAACCAGAGACTTGCATGGTAATGTTCACAAGCTGACAATACAACATGGGTTGTAGTCACTGCCTCATCCCTTGGAAATGAAGAGATGCCCATCCTCCTCCCCTTCAAATTAATTGATAAAGGGGATAAATGAGAAGGATCAAATTATGATCCATCACTAGGCTTGCTGCTGGAATAGGTTGCTCCCCATGTAGGGAAATACTAGTTTATGAACCTTTGAGTTTCTGCACCTTACACAATAGCAAGTAAGAGTCCTAGAACTGAATCAGGCACAATAACCCACTCATCTCATTTAAGATGTTTCTAGATTTCAGTTGAACTACAACAAAACAGTGCTATGCCTGACTCCATTTTTCCCCTCTTCCAATTATACCAGCAGTCACTGCCTCCTAATTAAGTAGCAGACTGAAGATAATCAACTTCAGGAAGGACTGAAACAACGTTCTAAGCAATGAGAAAGACTTGACCTACTCTGTTCTCCAAGGGAAATCCAAACCAAGGTGCACACCCCAGTTGCAGCGAGGACAGTGGTGCACAAGAACAGCTGAGAGGGAGCAGAGAGAAGAAATGCCTCTCTAATGCTTAGTGTAAAATGTAAAGGGGGGGGGGGGATACAATGCAGGAACCATAGCAAACAGACCCAGCCATTCATCAAAGGGGCAGCTGGAGAATTAGGATACTGTAAACACTTTAGGAAGGTAAGGCCTATACAGGGACCTGTAAATGAAATGAGCAACAGAGCAAATTCAGTCCTGCTATAAATACAGTGGCTTCAAAAGATGAATACAGGCCAGTTTTCTTACCAATAGGGATAGAGGACACACTAAGCAATCCCCCAAAGCCTTGAATTTCAATGGTTAAGTTTTTCAACAGTGATCTATGTTATTTTGTCATCACTAGTCTATGATCTACAACAAGTAGATCCCCTCCCTCCCTTTTATGTCCTCTGACCACAAAGAAGGGTAAGATTCACACCAACATAGAAATGTGTCATTTTTATTACAAAGATTTTCAAAATAAAAAGCATCTTTTAAAAAACCACAATATATTTCCCGCCCCAGACACACAGATACAGCGATCTCTCACTTCACAAAAACGTAAAAGAGCAGGAGGAGCTGCAGTCAGCTTCAAGAGACTAGAGATGGTGGAAGAGAAGAGTACTTAAAAAAATAAAACATTTAAAAATAACCTGTGTTAAGTTAGCAGCATTACTGGAGTTGAAACCATCAGCAGCGCTCTGTGGGAGGTACAGATGCTCTAGTGGACAGAGGTATCCCCCTGAGAAAACAGCAAGTGAAAGCTGCCTGCAGAACTTCTGCAAGGCTGGAGCTCAGTGAAGCATTTCACAGAAAGCTCATCCAATGATTAGTTATGAGAAGTGAGATGCAAGGTAAAGGCCAGTTCTGTTCTCAAGCGACAGGGGGTGCTGCTGTTCCATTACAAAGAGAGCAGCTTAAGTTGCAGGTTCAAAAGGTTCCCCCCAGTTACTGGCCTGGACAACAAGGAGAAAGGTCCTATCTAAAAACATTTGTGCTTCACATCAGATGAGAATTTTCAGCAAGTGCCACATTGACAAGCAGCTTCAACCAGGCTCTTCACAAGCTGGTCTTTAGCTGACTTGGGATTTCTGTAGTGGTTTCAGTCTAGGACCGAGATCAGCACTCAGAATGCACATTATGTAATCATGGGAAGTTGAGAGGGGGAAAAAGCAGGGAGAGCTACGCAGGAGGACAATAGGCAGTAATGCATTTCCCCCCACATAGGGGTTTTGGTATATGAAGAAAAATATTCTTTTGAGCCCTTCTCTCTCATATGAGATGTATAATGCTGCCACCCTAACTTGACTTAAAAGAATCCACTTTAGAAAGTTTTATTTAAAACACCAGCTAGCTGGCAGTTTTCATTTTGTGCTATCCAGATCTATACCTTAGAACAGGGCACCTTGGGCTGATACACCAGGGAACGTTACATATTTGCTTTCAAACTGCTTCAACTCCTTCCACAAATCCACTGCGGTAGATAGCCAACTTTAGTCAAGAACTGCACTATTTGACCCTGAGAACTGGCATCAGCTTGCAGTTACTTACTATGGTGTAATTGGACCAAAGACCATAGGAGCAGTTTCTCTCACAGGCATAAGTTGGGAACTCAAAAGTTCTCCCAAAGTTTCATGGCCATATTTCCACCTGACCTGAAAGTCAGACACTATTTCTACTTTATATTTAAAAAAAAAAATCAGTATTCTCCAAAAGGGCTCTTTCAAAGAGAGGGTAGAGAAGAGGAAAATGATTTTAAAAACCACACACCAGAGAGGCAGTGGAAGGCAAGAGTGAAACTTCCCCGTCACTAATTCTGAATAGTGCAGGTCTGTCTACTCAGAACCCTCCCCATCTGCTCTCAGCGGAATGCAGCAAGGAATAATTTACAGTTCTTAAGTCATTTATATATTTATATAGAAATATATACAGAAACATATAAAATATAAATCCTGTGGAATGGGAGGCTACCAGAGAAGCAAACGTGTAACTATGTACTGAAAGGTATTGTCCAGCTGCAGTCATCTTAGGCTGATTTGGTCTCTTCCTTTACCCTGTAGAGCCAAGAATGGAGAGCGTGTGTTAAGGAACTGACAAGAGAATCAGATTGTGATCAAGCTGTAGCAAAATAGTGGAGTAACATGTTAAAGCCTTTACCCTTAGGTCCCATCCTAACAGATGCACCAACATCTGTCCTTATCTTACACACACAATGAAGTTTTACACACATTGCAAAATATTTTTAAGCACTTCTCTAGCACCTTTTATCCAAGGACCTCAAAGTGCTTTACCAAAAGAGGGCCTTGGGTATTATCTATAATTTACAGATGGAGAAACTCAGAAACAGTCACCTACAGGGAGCACCTAGAAAACCATCCTGCTGCTCAACTCCCAGGCACCTAAGTCACATTGCATCCTTGTGTGTGTGTGTGGGGGGGGG